GTACTTTCGCCCCGTCGCCACCTCCAGCATGACAACCACACAATCACCCGCGAAGAAGAAGGCAGTTGCCGACAAACGGCCCCGCAGTAGCTCTGGACAGAAGAACGAGGTGCCGAGGTCGTCGCCGCCCGCTGTTGACACGACAAAGGTGCGTCGTCGAGGCAGTCAACGCAATCAAGTATACTTTGTGGCTTATATTCGCGCGGTAGAACCCTGGTAAACGGCAGAAGACAAATGGGTCCAAGGGCAAGATACCGGAAAGCTTCGATTACATCGAGCACAAGGAAGAATTTGTGGGTGGTGTCTCCTGCTTCCTTCGTTTGAGTGGCTCACATCAGGCCGATATAGTTCGTACTGTGGGGTGTTCGCAATATTACGTCCATAGGACAGCATACACCTCGAGCAAACCAACCAACCTCGTCCCAGCCTTCGTCCGACTCCATTGCTGCCGCCACCGCCGTCCCTGGACGTCTCCGTCTGTCCACTCCCGCCACCTCCTTCTCGTATAGCAATGACCATCTGGTAAGCCGGATATCGTCCTGTTGCTAATGATGCCTGTTGATGGGAGTCGAACTCAGGGATCAACGAGGGCACCAGGATCCACGTCGTTTCGCCCTACCAGCGACGACGAAGTCCAACTCGGAAAACACTACAGCCCCACATCTGCCTCCCTCGCATGCACAACTTTGCCTTCATGGCCGACTGGAGTTCAATGTGGTGAGCAAGCCCATCAGTCTTCCTCGACTCCGACGGATCTGGAGTGGCGGCGGTACACGGCGGGTCACAAGCAGTCTTCTACGCCAGCGGACTACAGGTCATCTCTTGAGTCTCTGCGCAACTCCGCGGTTCCTCATACTTACCCATCCATCTCCCGGCACGGTTCATCCGTGGATCCGCCCTCCTCGAACGTGGAGTACTACGAGTCTTCAGATGAGTATCTCACGTCCACACATACACCTTCCCCCGCCGGACCCGCTCGGTCGGTCGCTCCTCCGTCGTCCGTCGGGATGGTGGTGCCTTCTGGCACCTTCCCTGGCAGAAGACAATCATCCGCGCCCGGGTCCAGTCATAGCGACGATCCCATGATCGCGTCAACCGAGCAGGGCTTCAGTGCGAGTCGCGAAGGCACCGGTCCGCCGCTCACGCATCGCAGCTATGGTCAGCACGTCGGGTCACCCACCGGGAGTTCGAGCGTGGACTCCGTGAGGCTGGCTACGCCTACCGACACCTTCCTCGCCTTGCCCATCACTGGTCTCGGAGTTTTCGAGGGCCGTGTCCCTGCCACTGTTCTCGCTGTCCCAAAGGATGCCTGCTATCGATCCGTCGGACAGCCGTCCTCTCCTTACGTCGCTGCTCCCACCCCGGAATACTGTAACGACGACACCTTCGTGCCACACCGCGCCCCTACTAGTCGAATTCACGATGTCGGCGACATGGCCCCACTGTCGGCCAGAATGGCACACGGCGTCGCATCTGACGTGTCACGGTTAGGGTTTAGGCATGGGCATACACATGTTTTATGCCTCACGACACCCTCTGACGACATTCCCAGTGGACTCCTCGCTGATGGACTTCCTCACGGCGTGAATCTCATGTACGACGTTGCGTCCACGTCGGAATTCCACGACGCCCTTGCTTCCGAAGACATGTTTCACGCATCTGAGCTACAGCCTGCTGTGGGAGACACCGAGTCTTCGCAGCTGTTTGAACGGCTGTCCACGGCCCTCACGCAGCTCGTCGAAGCCATGTTCAGTGGATTCGAAGTTTGCGCTAGGGGAGACCCATGCCGGTCGGCTAAGAACTCCGGGGCCTGAAGACGTCGTGGACGATCTCACCGGGTCTTTGGCGTTGGTACCGTCTCCGAGCAGCAATACCAGATGGATCTTGACACAGATCTCGTCTCTGAAGGCCATCACGATCACAAGTCTCCCAGTGGGGAGAGCGCCGTGGCATACCTCGCTGCTGGACATCATGCATCAACGGTTGAGTTACCTCCGCTTAATCCTCATATTTCAGTTGCGCCTTCCGTAGGGTGCAGATTTTGTAGGCATGATTTACCCTGCGTTCTAATCTGCTAGGAATCATATTAAGCATCATGACTGCTCCGGTTCTTACTTGTTCTGACGTCGAGGAACTGTAAGGCGAGCTTTGGGCGAGCTCGCAGCAATTCTAACTTCGCAAACCACGCACCAGCTGTTTATCCGGAATATGCATATGCCGTATGGTTCCCTGGCCACGCCTTCGATCCCTCGAATTGTCGACAAACGAAGTCGCGGCCGGTCCTTAGGATGACGGGGCCGCCTGTTGAACGCGTCACGCGCGATGAGGTCGCTACGCGGAGTCGTGTCGTGCCTTGGGATTAATGGCTGTCTGTCTGGTCGGACGAAAGTCGGATGTATACTTGCTACCGGGATGCGACGGCATCTGCCAGTGCAGCAGAAACTAAATCCTTGTTGCAGCGAACCTCCACTGTGATGACTTGTACTTGGGCTTCCGATCATGGCATATTCGGCTCCTGAGCGTGAACAATTGCAACGGAATGGCTGCCGGTCACTAGTTCACTGAGGACCCTTCTACACATTCACAGGCCAGAAGTCCTAGCGAAGTACGTTCAGACAAAAAGGCACCTATTTCTCACGCACTGCCCCCACGAGCCTTCTGATAAGTACTCGTAGCAGACCTCTCCAATACATGAGCGGGTCGGGACGAGTCTGGATACCTCAACTTCAAGCAAAGTTACCCATGTCAGCACTGCCCGGGCCCGTCATGAGAAGAACACAAGTCAGGTGTTATAACGATTATTTCTATCGGGTATTCCAGACTTTCATCAAGAAGAGCAGGGCCTGACCGTTCCTTGTAGCTGTGTCTTCCTTCTACTGCATCGTGGTTCCACTCTGTCAAACGTGTGAAGCACAGTCTACGCCCTAGGACGCCGATAGCACGGATATAAACCCCACAAGCCTCGTCCAAATCCCCAACGTCCTCCCCACCTACTTATCGACATGCCGGTGACTTTCGATGTCGCCCACCACGTTCCCATGGCCTATCGGCTGGGGCAGCAGCCCCTCAGCCACAACGCCGTCTTGAGAGCGGCATGCGAGGGTCAGGCATCACAATGTCGCGACATGCTGCAGTCCTCCATCAACCGCGATAACATCACAAACCTCGTGCCGAAGAGCAATGGCTTCGTGCATGCTGTGCTGGAGGCCTACGGATCCCATCATCATCTACGGATACGGTGTGTGTCCATCTTCGTATTGCTGACGTGCCAGGCTGATTGATGGGACGTGGCCATTGGCAGGCCGGACGACGTCTGGTTGGCGATCCTTACCCAGCTGAGCTTCTAGTATGTGTCAGACTTCTCTGATCATGACTACTGGTCGCTGACCTAACGGGTCTGCAGTGTGAACGCGCATGCTGAAGATCTGCGCTCTTACTTCGTCGCGCACGAAGGAAAGAAGAGGCTCCAGGTGACGACGTCCGGGGACCGCTATTCAGTCGACTATGCTGGCATCTCCCGGCAATTTGCATCTCTGATCCACCAAAACGTACGCTCCTTGTCGTCCCCGTATTGAAGCCACCCATCTCACTTGTTACCAAGGTCGTGGACAGCACGCTCGTCGAATGGATCCTCCCGGACTTTACCACCACCACTTGGCACGACCGGACGATCGGGTCCATGGTCATGATGTCTACTCTGAAAGCGTACGACTCTCCCAAGCCTGTCGTCCTCACCAGCATCGCACTAACCCTCGTATCCCGGCGCAGATACTTCGAGTTTTTCATCTCCATCGAGTGTGGAATCCCGACCGTGACGCTCGAAGGCGAGAAAGCCGACTGGGAGGAAATACACCGACGCCTCTACCGCCTCTACGAGCTCGGCGACGAGCCATCCATATGGGCCGACATGCTGCGCCCCATCCTCCGCCGCTTCGTCGACGCCTTTGACGGCAAGCCCGACGTCCAGTTCTGGGAGCACGTCGTGCACCATACATCCGTCTCCTGCGGGGTGCCCGCCGTGGACGGCTGGATCACCGCGTTCTGCCTGTGGTCGCACGAAGGTAAGTGGCGGCCTTGGGACGGACCGCCGACCGTCGTGCCAAAGCAGCCCTCGGTTCCGCCTCCGGTCGTGCGTCCGCAGTGGAAGGAGCCCGCCGATGCTGCGTCTGGCAAGGGCCGCTCGCTGGCGCGGGCGGGCAAACGGCTCTCGGCGGCTTTGCCTGCGCTGTTCCGCAAGAGCGCGGCACGCAAGTCGTCGTCCAAGAAAGACTCGGGCGGGGGGGAAGGATCGGTGGGCACCGCCGCCGCGGAAGCCTCGCGCACCCCAGAAAAAACACAGGAGGAGCCAGAGCGCAGCTTGGTCGAGCGTGGTGAGTGCCCATTCTGCGGTACTGGAAGCGACACCTTCCGCTCACGGGCGGGCGATCTAGGTCGACATGGAGGGCTCGAGGTCGATGGCGTCGCGTACTACGCCATCCCCACCGGCTCAATCCCCGCTGGCTATAGCGAGGTCGACGTCACCGTGGACGACAATGGCGACCTATTGGAGTGCAAGATGGTCGCAGGCCATGTGGCTGTTGCAGTGTCTTCGAAAATGCCGGGTGGGCAGCTGGATACGTTGAGCCCGTCCGCGCACTGGTTCATGTACCAGAAGATGTGATGAGCAGACAACATAAGCAGCTGTGTGTACACGAGTCTCCCTCTAGCGTGTATGATAGATCAGCAATGTCCGGGAACCGCCCTAGGCCTATGTTCGCGAGAGGATGAAATTCAAGTTAGCGGTCTTACCTGTTCGAACTGGCCAGATGTAACTTGAAAGCGAAGCGAACTATTAGTATGATGGCCATGAAACTGGGCACATGTGACATGGCCCGTCGTGAATGACGCGCACGGTGAGTCGAAAAAAAGATTGTCAATGTCTACGCTCCCGTTGCTTCACTAGTTCACTTGTCACTTGTGAGCCTCTGAGGCAACAAAAAACTCGCTCATCACATTCGTCTAGGCACTGCCAGGAATCGAACCTGGGTTATGAGAACACTCTTCAGAATCTCAAGTGATAACCGCTACACTACAGCGCCTTGTGACCATTACCTCCCAACAGATCCATGCGGCGCCTGTTTACATCGCAAGCTGCACGGTGGGCATGATCAGCTCACCCGTCGCGCTCGCTGCGCCCGCCCTCGAACCCCCAAATTGGCATCAGACGTCCTCGAAGGCAGGCTGAGGCTAGAGCGTTCCCGCAGAACGACAGCCGGCATGAAATTTAGTCTATTCGTCCGACCGTCGCCACACGAGCTTGTTCTTCGCGGAACGGCCTGGGGCCCTAATAGCCACACTGTCGTGACAGTCGTGTGTTTCTCGACCGCCGGGACGGCGGAAGCCCGGACGATGGCGCGCCTGAAGCTGAGGGTGCGCGCGGCAGGAACGTTCACCCAAGCTTCTGGACTTGGGAGCAAGCTTGCAAGTTGCAGCCCGCGAGGAAGGGGAGTTGTTGGACCGAGATGGTAGCGACGACGTGACCACGGGTCAGTCGGCATGGTACTTATGTGGGACGTACGACGGGCGGTGATTGGTTCTCGTACTTGCGTGACCGTCGAGTCCGTGCGCGATGTGGGAGAGTCTCAGGGCCATATGTTCAGTATGAGTGTGTGCAATCGTGCACGTCATACTATGTGTACTGCGTAGGACGGTGGGTGCGGGGAAGGGCGATGAGTGGACGCCGATCCTACATAGACTCGGACTCACGGATTTGCAGCGATGAAGGACGACCAAGCGAGGAGGTGAGCAGATGAGCAGGCACTAGTCAGCTGCAGGACGTCGGAGGCAGTGCAGAATGCGCTTCTCAAAAGGGAGATCACAGAGTGTCAGGTACGCAAGTGATACTGAGGAAGTGGTGGGAGCGTATGTTGCACAGATGCTCGCAAGCATCGATGGTGGGGAGCGCTGTTGAATCTCTGTGACGGCGAGCGAGCACTGAGTACTGAGTAGGCCATCATAAAGAGACCGCAGTCCACTATTGGCACCAGGATCATCAGGCCCGTTTCGCAGTCGGCGTAGTATGGTGATCAAGCTCGAGTTCGATAGCTCATCTGCAGACAGCGATCCTCCACCAAAGCCAGGGAGCCGGAGAAAGTTCCGATAACCCGGCTACCGCGTTTCGCTGCGAACATATCGCGCACAGCTAGGACAGCATCATATTGTTGTAGTCGCGCAAGACGCTGACCTACATGTCAGGGAGAACATGTCAGACAACGGGTCGATGGAGACAAGCCCGCTGCAGCTCACATATGCCCCGAGCGTGTGGTTACACTTCCGCCTGTCACTGCCGATAGTAACGCCCGACGGGATGTCACCTTCGATAACAGGTTGGACAGCTGGGCGTCCAAGTGCATGCGCCATATCCCGAAGCAGGGAGGCTAGGATTCCACGGGGACGGGAGAAGCTCAGGGTTCAAGCCACATCACGAGGGTGCCGGCGAGGGAAGGTTCAGAGAAGACCCCATGTAGTCACTGCAGATCATGACGTTGGCTCCCGGACGTCGACCAGCGCGACATGCGCGGGTATTGATCGCACGAACGTCGACAGAATGACAACGTCGGGTATTGAGGCGTCGCTGGACGAGTGCTTGGAAGTGAGCTCGTAGTGCCACAAAGGCCGCAGTCCCCCCTGTACGCGGAACATGATGCTGACATCCATCATGCAGGGAGGATATCTATCACTGGTGCTGTGCTGGATTAGGTGGGTGGGTGGTCAGCGGGTCGGCTGTGAGAGCAGAACTGAGAGAAGCACGACATACTTTGATACCGCGACGATGTTCTTGTCGCCGTCTTCCCAGAGCCTATCGTCATAGGCGTCGGCGACACTGGAAGTGGACCACGAACATCTTGCCCGTTCGACGAGCAAGGCCGAGGAGATGATTGGGCTGACATATGATATCGAGGTCGAGCTGCATTCATGCCGGGGTCTGATTTGACAGGTCGAGGCAGCGATCAACGACGTTTACTTACCCAAGAAGGTTTCGCCCTCCTTCCTTGATGCTTACTCTACCCCCGACGCGAGACGTCCCAGGCCACTGGCGGCGCATGGGAATAATTGAGGCGGTGGCTCAGCTCATAGATTGGACGCTCGAGCTCGTTTCCGGCGACAGAGAGGCTCATTCATATCGCCGATGTGCACCTGCGAATATGCATGTGGCCCGATCGTGCGCCTCTAGCCCGGATCGAGTGCGGGGACGTCCTCGAGCGTGCTCGCGCGTCCGTGGCCGCGGACGTCGCCGAGGGTGCAAGGTTGGGAAGACGGCGGTGAACGCGGCTGAGAGTTTGATAGCGAACATGATGGTAGAAGACAAGCTGTGACACCGAGAAGAGGACGCACGGAGGAGTTCTGACAGCAGCCGGCGCCTGTAAACCTTCCATAACGGGGGCAATCCAGGGCGGCCGCGGCCGGCAGAGCGTTCCCATATGTGGGCGCGGCGAAGGCTCCGCCAATGCCATTGTGCCCCGCACGCCGTTGTCGCTGGGCGCGAGGGAATCGCGTCGCTCGAGCGGGACGACAATGGATGCAGCGCGGGTGGGCGCGTCGTCGGGAGGAGGCAGGGACGGCGGATGGGGGAATGCTGCGAAAACAAGGGAGATCTGGATCGGTCGGTTGGGTTGCAATTTACTGGTCGCTGGCGGGGCGTTCCTTGCTGCTGCACTCTCGACCGCGACCGCCCCGCCCCCCGAGCGACGGCAAGGACCACTCGTTTTCTCCTTATTTTCTTTCTCCGGCGTGCTCCCGCATGAGGTCGGAATTCTCGTCTGTCGCCTCGACAGGTTGGATTCCGAAGAACCAGACCCAGAGCACGCCCGTCAGGCATCAGTCCTCCCAGCTTCATCAGTCCAACTCCCATCACATCCTTCCTCCCTCTTCTCCCCTCCTCACCCCCCGTGCTCGCACGGCATCCACCACCAACAAGGCCAGCTCCTTCGCCGCCTCCGTGCGCTCCGTCTTCCACCGCTCGCCCCACCGCGCGACCTCCGAGGCCTCTCTGCGCTCGGCATACTCCGCCAACTCCTCTGTAAAGCCCCCGTCGTACTCCTCGAACGCCGACAGCAGCCATCTCCATCCTTACGCCTCCATGGTCGCCGCACCCCTACCTGTTGTATCAAGCCACGACGCCTCAGACGAGGAGGAGGAGTGCCCCGTCTGTCTCGAGCCCTTGAGCTCGTCCTTCAGGCTCCCGGGAGAGAAGCCTCACATCGTCCCCGAGTGTGGACACTCCCTTCACGAGGTGAGCTCTCTCTTGCCGCGCTTCTTGCTCCCGAGATCCTCCTGCTCTTCACTTCCTTCCCATCTGCTGCGTTTCCCCATACCCCCGTATCGACGGGGTAGCCTTGCGCTCTCCAACGCCGCATCGGTTCCCACGTCCCACGTCCCGCGTCTACGCCCACCCCGCAGTTGCTCTACTTCCAGTCCTCCTCGCTGCGCGATCGTACTCTCCATGGGCCAGGACTCGCGCCCAGAGTCGAGGTCGCTTGGGTGCGAGCGTGTTCACTCCCACGGAAGCTGGGGAGGGGGTCGCTGAGACTCGCATGGCCCGTCCGCTCTCTCTGGTTCGTCTTGCCCGTTCCACTGCAAGCAGACCCGCTTCCACCTTGAGCCTCGTCGAGGACGTGCTCTTGCGGACGTGTCCTCGACACGTTGGAGGTCGAGCCCGCTCCCGCCATCTCGCTCTGATTCGGGCCAACGCGTGGCGGCCTCACAGGGTATCCCGGCGTTACGGCCTGTAAGGTTGCAACTCTAGCAGGCTTCTGTCGGGCGGGACCCCTGGAACGGAGCCGTATCTGGGGTTGAGACCGCCACGGTGTCGCGCAAGCTTTAGGGCCTCGAAATGCGCTTCTACCATATTTGGTAATGACGCGTGTATTGTGAGCGAAGCACTGCTTTCGTATGCGCTGGTATCAGGGAGTCTGGTATGCGGTTTGCGAGGAGCCGTCGGTCGGCCGCATTGTGCTCATCTCGTACGGGCGATGTGCTTTACCCAGCATCACCATACTTGAGGTCGGACCACAGCGAGCGTGAGCGCTCCGCTGGCGGGGACGAGTCGACAGGTCGGACCGTCGACCTACCGCTCGCTCTTCAAGGTCGTCCAGGCTCTATTGTAGCCGAGCTGCTGCTTCCACTTTCCGACTCTTGGTATGACTTGGCATTCCATGTGGGCAGCTTCACCATCGATGAAGCTAGTCTCACCTGATGGGAAGCAGTGGTAACGGAGCACATTGATAGTGCTGGGAGAGGCTCACGACTTGGACGTCTGGACCGAAGTGGCAAAGACGTCGTCTCGGAGCGAAGCGATGTCGTCGCTCCTCTGCGATTACTCTCCCATGCGCTTCTGGACTTTCATCAATATCGCCCCTGTTTCTCCCGCACTCTGCTCCAAATGTCATGAAGGTCCCGCGTATTGGCGGGCTGAACCGCATATGGCAGTGGCGGTACAACTTACGAGCGAAGCGATATCGACCCTCTTCTCATGACCTTTTTCTATTCATTTTCGAACGCATTCCATATCCACGGCTCTACGCGATGCTAACCTTGGTTGATCTCTAGGCATGCTTCACCGCTGTCTATGGCCCACCGCCGGGTCCATCTCGTGCCGGCGGTGTTATCCGCAAGTCCAACCTTGGAGTCTGCGGAGTATGTAGAAGACCGATGAAAGTGGGCGACGGCGATGGAGGCAAATCTAACAGTACGTACACACAGTCTCTGCGAACAAAACCGGTCCTGAGATTTCGTAGAATTGGCCGCCTTGACTGGAATGGGTGATCCTGCTGTTCAAGCACTCTTCCCCGGACGCGACACGCCCTCCTCTATGCGCTCGTTTAACGGCCACGGACACCCGCACGGACGTGGCGCGGTGCCTCAGAAGCCTTTCGATCCGACTGAGGACGACCCTGTCGAACACAAGTCCGCCCATTCGCAGGAGCAATCGCACTACGTCGTTGCTCCCTCGATTCACGTCCAATCCGAGTTCGCATCCATCACGCGGACGTCGGACGCGAGCCAACCGCTGACATGTCTCGTTGTGGTCGAGCTCCCT